GATTATTGTAGGCAACCTCGGTGAAGGGTAAGAGCTCACCCCAATTGTCTTGCTGATAGTTCACATAACAGTGGAGGTATTGCACCAATATGCCATTTGTATGTTCACAGCCTCCATTCATCTGTGGGTGATGGGAGAAATTGAGGCCCTGGGGGGTGCCTAATAATTTCAACTCCTGCCAAAAGCTTGAAATAAATTGGACACAGCAATCTGAAATTATGTGTTCAGGTCCTCTGTGCAATTGATACATGTGTTGCACAAATACATGCTAGAATTTGCAGATGGAATCTTGGGACAAGTCACAAAGTGGTCCTGTTTGGAGAACAGGTCTGTGATAACCCAAATCACTGTTTCCTGTGCTTTTTCATGCACGGCCATCAGAACTGGCATTTCACAAAGTGGAGAGTTTTAACAAATCCAAAATGCCCCATGGTCTTGGTATAATGGCTGCATTGCAAATCCAGGGTTTGCTGCCTCGCAGGCGTATACAATTTACTCTCCATCCACACCAAGTCAACCCTTAGTGAAAGTTCTTTCTTATGTAGTCAGAACCACTTGTCCTTTGCTAGAGTTTCTTTTAGCGCTTGAGCTATGTTGCCAGCTACCTGTTCTTTTGAACTTTATATTGCTTTGTGAGGGCTAGTGGGCTATTTGTTTGCAAAGGATGATGGAATTGACAATCCTCTTTTTGGTACTGTTGTATTGGGGCATCCTGGACAGGGCATTCATCAGGAAATTCTTCCCTCTAGGGAGGTAGCAAAGGGTGAAATTGAACCAGTTGAAGTATTGAGCCCATCTGACTTGTTTGGGAGATAGCTTTCTGGTTTTTTTTAGCACTTCCAAGTTCTTGTGGTCAATCCAGACTTCAAAAGGGACCTTGCTGCTCTCTGGGAATTGTCTCCAGGCAAGAAGAGCCCAGCAAATTCCATAAACTTCCTTCTCCCGACTGCCCAGTGCCTTTCTGCTTCAGAGAGTTTGCACAAGGTATAGGCACAGGGTTGTAGCCCTTCTTGTAAGTTCTTTTGGAGGAGCACTGTCCCCACTGCCACATTGTTGGCATCTGCCTGAATGACAAATGGTTTGTCCAAATCGGGGTGTTTCAACACTAGCTCAGCTGCAAAAAGGTGTTTCAGTTTCTCGAAAGCAGGTTGGCATTCCGTTGTCCATTTAAATGGTTGGTTTAGTGATTCCTTTGATTTTTAAGAGATTCATGATTGACAGTTCTCTTTGGGCAAGGACTGGGATAAACTGTTGGTAAAAGTGAAGCCAAGGAAGCTCTGCAACTGCTTCCTTGTACGAGGGGCTTCACACTCTAGGATGGCACTCACCTTCCTCAGGTCTATTTCTACATCCTCCTGGGAAATCTGGTACCCCAAATAGACTAGTCTTGTGAAATTCACACTTGGAGAGTTTCACATACAATTAGCCTCCCAAAGTTTCTCAAGCCATGCCCTTAATAGTTTCACATACTCTTTCATCATCTCAGTGTAAATTAAAATATTATACACCAACACCCCTTTGTATCATTTTTTTATATTTGATCATATTTATATTTGATTATATTTATATTTGATCATGTAGCACCTCATTGATCAACTGCACAGACACTGGGGGCTTCCTGTAGTCCAAAGGGGAGCACTCAGTTTTGGAAGTAGCCCAAAGGTCAGTTAAATGCTGTTTTCTACTCATCCCCCTTCTTAATCTGCACCTGGTAATAAGCCTCCCTTAAGTCCAGTTTGGTCACCGCTACAACCGCCTTCGGGAAAGGGAGTAATGGCCAGCTGGGGAGGAGAGATGCAGCTCTCCTCAACCTTGCAGGCAGTCTCCCCCTTCTTCACCACCTCTACGGGGTGGCTTAGCCCCGAAACCAGCCAGCTCAGGGCGCTCCAGTGGCGAGCACGGATCGAAGCCTCGCAGAGACGAGGTTTCGGTCTGTCGCTGAAGAAGCTCAAACCAGAAAAATCTTTTTTCTCTTGGAAGAGCACGGGTGCAGCCATGCGTGACTTTGCTGGCTGAATGAAACCCCTGGCCAAATTCTTGTCAATGAAAGATTGGATTCTTCCAGTTCCCAGGGCATCATCAAGTACAGTTTGGGTTTGGCAGCTTGGCCATAGGGACAGTCTCGACAACACAGTCCATGGGGTGATGGGGGGAAAGCACATCAGACTCTTTTTCTCTGAACACTTCAGCTAGGACCCAATATTACTTGGGGATTGATAGATCCATCTCCTCCCTCCAAATCCAAGCTTTGCTTGTGCCTTCTGCTTTCACTTTTCTAATCAACAGCTTGTGACAGCTCCTTATCACTTTTATTACGGCTTCCTGGCCAGAAACTTTCCTCCACACCTTCAACTGGTTTCACTCCCAGTCTAAGGAGGGATTTCACTTCTTGACCCATTTAAACCACAGGACCATGGCTTCAGTCATCCCCTGAGCCACAGTGAATTGGATAGTCTCGATGTGGGTTCCTATGTTTAGCTCCACCAGTTCAGTTAGAAATGTGGCTGGAGTGCCCACACCACCACTGTTCCATCCCGCTGAAAGGAAGCTATGGGGTTTTTTAGTTCCCTCAACCGCATTCCCAACTTTTCCACCACACCTGGGCTAACGAGGCATCTGGTATACCAGAGTCTAGTAGGCCACCTTCCTTCATTACACAAACATACATCACCTGATATGCTTATATCCACTAAGTACTCAAATTTATACAGCTTGGAGATGGAAAATATGCATAAAAATGATGATATGGTCAAAATACTCACTTGCCTAATAATTGGGCGCAAAGCGTATACCTGTGGTTTGTGAACTTGTGGACGTTCCCTTCTTGGGAGGTACCTCTCAAGGTTTAAAATACCATCTGGAATCAAGGTGACATCTGGATGTATGTTTCTCTGTGTGGTAGGTATGTTGTCTTGGCCTATAGGTCAAGAGATGATGCGGAACTTCCTGTATCTTCTCTTACTCAGTGTGAATGATAGCCATATTATTAGCACTATGTGTCACTGTCTTAATTTCAAAGTTGGATGAATCAGCTGAATCCAATGCTGTAATTTAGAAGATGACCATGCATCAGCTGGTGCAATGTGTATTATGAGAGTTTTTACTGCCCACAAATGCTGCTTTGAAGCTTCTCTGTTCTCAGAGGTGGTAATGCATATTTCATGTTTTCATAGTCCTTTAGATAGTTGGAGATGTATTAATTGACTTCCTTCTGTTTCTTTCATGCATTTATTATATCTTAGCAGTTAATTCTATTATATTTGAAATCAGTTTCTCTGACTGAAAGAAGGACCATCTTTTGTTGCCTTTGCCTTCTTCATTCCACAGTAAACTGAATAATATCAAAGGAAGCCTTTCCATTCCATGACTCTCTATTCCCTAACAGCAGGGGTGGGATTCAACCGGTGTTACTACCAGTTTGGTGACTATGTTTTACTGCGCGCGTGTGTAAAAAAAAAAATAGCTGTGCTGCCCGGACAGCTGAAAAGCGCTGTGCGCAGCATTTGAAAAGCCTCTTTTTTCTTGGTATTTCAACCTCAGCTGTGCCACACAAAGCAACTGAGGTTGAAAAAGCAGGAAATAAAGGGCAGGTAAGAGCCTGGGCGGTGAGTGGGCCAAACAACAGCAAACACAGAACCGGTGTCTGCTGCTCTTCAGAGCTACCGGTTCTATAGAACCGGGCAGAACCAGTAGCATCCCACTCCTGCCTAACAGCATATTTAGAAATCTACCCTTTAGCCAAGAACATTAATCTTCCTTCTCAAGGCCATATGAAAACTAGAGTTCAGGAATTCCCTTAATGCATATTATCAATAAGCAAAGCATACTAAAATGAATTATAGCAAAGTATCTTTTAAAAGTGTCCAAAATTGGTTGGCTATTACATTCCTTAGCACTTTTTGTTAAAAAAGGGCTGTCAGGCAGGCTTTTAAAAAGATGACTTTAGTACTTAACTCCAACAATGTGAGTAAAATAACCCCTTCTATTAGAGATTTATTAACAAACGGATAGATGAGCAAGTTAGGACCATTAAGTTGCAGACTGGTCTTCTTCAAATTTGTTTTTATCTTCCTTTAGAACATTTAATCTCAGCAACTAACACTTCAACATCATCTGTCACTTGATCATTTTCTGTTATTTAGCCTTCAGAAGAAAGAGGGTTGAATGGTTTGTTTTTATTATAATATGGTTAATACTTATCCTTAAAAGTGAATTCTAGATTTAGGATATTTCTTAGTACAAACAGCAGAACTGCAAATTTAAAAATTTAAAACCTTTGGTCATAAAGTCTTTAGAACAGAACTAAATATTATTTTTCATTAATATGCAACACATTACATTTGCATTACACATAATATTTCTCTTACATTACAGTAATGAGTATGTCAACTGTAATAGTATTGAATTCATTGATTATCAGAATGGAAGGAGGAGCTCCTTGTTGCAATTCTGTGTGGTATATAAAGCCATAACCATAAAAAAACATCATGAAGAAATTCAAATAGAATTAGGCTTGCCTTGATAAGTTAGTGACAGAGTGTTTCGGGAATCCATTTTCAATGGAAATTGAAACATGAAACCAGCCATTAACAAATAGCACTTAAAAGTTATATGCTGCTCTGCTTTGCAGCACTCTTTGAACATTTTACAAATGTCAGCATATTGTCGTCCCTCCCTCCCTCCCCCTAAAAAATCTGGGTCCTCATTTTATCGACCTTGGAAGGATGGATGGCTGAATCAACCTTGAGCTGTTCAGGATCGAACTCCAGGTTGTGGGCAGAGTTAGCCTGCAATACTGTATTCTAACCATTGCGCACCAGAGCTCCCTTAATGTTAGTTAAGAAAAAATTCTGTAAGTAAGCATTCTTTCTTCTTTTATGCAAATCTTTTATCTTGTGGATCTAAAATTACTGATTCTTATTGCTGATTTTCTTAATCTGTATGTCCTCTCTTTTCTGATTTTACTGTCTTTATCTTCTGCTTCTTCGTTAAATACTTAGGCATTAGAAAGGCAGAAAGTTTTCTTTGATTCCCTAAGAAGTGAGCGAGATGATCTTAGAGAGGAGGTGATTTTGCTGAAGGAACAATTGAAGGTATGATGAAGCAAATGAACAAACACAAGCAAAAAAAAAAAAAAAGTATAAAAGGTAGTGGTATTAAATAATAGCATTTTATTTCAGTGTACCAGAAAGAAGCCTTCCTTGGGTGTTCCGTTATTTGATAAGATTAAACTAGCTGTGGCTCATCATTGTTTTCTTACCTAATTGTATTCTCTTACTATGCTGCTGTTGAAGTGCATTTAGCTACATTTGGAAATTAGGAAGAATGAATATTAGATAACAGCATATACATAAAGATACTGGAATGGGACTGCTGATCATGCCACTTCTGTAGCCCAAAGCTATATCATGAATTGTTTTCACTTAGGATAGTAGCATAATCTGTGAAAATCACCTCTTGCTGCAAAAGTTTTAGTACTGTTACCTGGCTATTTATTATATTCATACTAGTCTCATCCTTTGCATTCATGTGATTTTATTATTCATGATTTCAGTTTTTGCAAACATACTTTACATGGAACTGGATGTTATAAATATATTTTGTTTTGCATTCACAGCAATATGGAATCACCAATTTAGAAGTAGCTACCAATGGAGAAATCTCTGAATGTGTTACTAAGGATGGACTATCAAATTCTTCCAATGTTGTTTCAGAGACAAGTCATGTCATTAAATCTGAGGATTGTACAGAAGGTAAGCATTTGCATTGTACTAAAATACTATATATGATCATTTTTGGTTGAAAATGTTTATAATCTAACAATAATATTCTGCATGGTGTACACATGTTAACTTTTCCTTAATACAACAATCACTTAAGGCCATTAATTTTTTTAAAAAAGTGAGAGGTTTTTTGGTGAGAAGATTTTCAATTGGGTGTTGTTTAATTCCCAATTTTAGGAAAACCAAATAATTTAAAGCTAGCTTACCTATATACCTATTGTAAATTTCATTTCAATATATTAAGCATAATATATATTATGTTTATATATTATTCATAAACATTAACTTTGCTTTGGTTCCCAGCAGTGTTTATGAAAAGCACTTGAAAATATTAAGTTTTAGGTACTAAATACAGATGGTGCTTAACTTATGACCACAATTTGGACCAGAAGTTTCCTCACTAAGCGATGTGGTCATTAAATGAATCATCCCATAACTATCCCTGATTTTACAACCTTTTTTTGCCATGGTTAAGTAAATCTGGTTTACTTCATTGATTTTGCTTGTCATAAATGTCATAAGCCAGCTGGGAAGATTGCAAATGGTAATCACATGATCCTGGAATGCTACAACCATTGTAAATGCTGGTTGCTAATTACTTGAATTACAATCATGGCCCACAGGCACTCTGTGATGGTCATGTGAGAACCAGCCATGTCATTTTTTTTAGCACCATCATAACTTTTTAACAGTTGCTAAACAAATGGTCATAAGTTGAGGCCTGCCTGTAAAATTAATTACATTGCTATTCATAATAGTTGTTTATAATTGTAATTTATTAATCACGGTGAGATTTATCCCAGTCATGTATCCATTAACATAGTTTTGTGTATTTAAATTACTGGCTCTACTATATTTAAAAAATTAAAAAACAAGGAATTTTAATTTGTACAATCCACTTAAAGTAATACAAATTCAACAGAGTTGGCAGTGATGCACTTTTCTGTTCAGATATTTTAAGTTATGTTCTTCCTTTGCCTTCATATAATTTGCAAAAATGGATACTTTTTAACATATTACTAATTCTCTTTTGAGGTTTTAAGTGCAAAGGTAAGTGATAGCATACTTAAATGATGTATCTATATTGTGATCCCTTGAACTTTCTTATAATGATCTTTTAGGCAGAGCAAATGAAGTGGAGATGGAAAATGAGATTTTGGAGAATATGGGGAAAAGAGAAATGTTGCAGAATACTGAGCATGAGGAAAACACAGAGGACACTAAGGATCAGGAAATCAATCTCAAGTGTTTGGAAATAAAGACATTGCCTGCTGATGAAAACATAGAGACTAATAAAGTCACTGAAGCCAAAATTACATCAACATTGAAATTGAATAGTGGTCTTGAGGATCCTGTAAAAAGTTACTCAGAATGTATCCCAGAAATTGTTGATTCCCTTGAAAAAAGATATTCAGATGAATTAAAGGTTGAAGGGGCTTCACCAAGTCATATTTTAGAAGAGAAATTGTCTGATAGAGATATAAATGTAACTCATAATCAAAATAATATGACAGATCCAAGTATTGAAATTAATCAGGAAATACATGCCAATTTAGAAATAGTTCCACAACAGCAAAATAAAGAAAAACAAACAGATATTGTAGTTGATGAGTCAGAAGGGAATAGTGAAGTGTTTTGGGAAGCTTTAGATTTTATAAATAATGGCCACATGGCAATTTCTACTTCACCAGAATTGGTAGATGTTATCCTTATGAAAGCCTCCAGTATTGATCTTAACAGTGAACAATCAAAAAATGGGGTTGTTGAGAGAGATTTAAACAGAGAATGTTTTAAAAATGAACAAAATCCTAACATAAATGTTGTAACAAAAGGGCCAAAAATAGAAATGTGTGAAACAAATGAAGAGAATGAGGCACAAAGTACGATGTTGCAACAGGAGGACCAAGTAGTAGATTCTGAAGAAGAACAAAAAAGAACATGTATTATGAAAGTTACTTTGAATGAGTTTGGAGAGGAACAAGATCAACTTAAAGTTGAAGAAATCCAATCACCACCTTCAAAACATGATGCAGTTGTTGACAAACAAAATGAGCAAGAGTTAGGAGCAAATAAAGAAAATGTTGAGGATACGAAGGCATTAAATGCTTATTTAGATTTTGAGGGAAAGAATAATGAATGTATTGTGGAAGATGTTCATGCAGAACAACCTGTTGTAGATTATATAAATCAAAGCAAATGCCAGACCCAAGAAGAAACAAATGCAAACATAGAGAATGATTCCAGCTGTAATATAAAATCAGCTTGCATAGATGGAGCTCTGGCTGATATTGATATGATAAATAAAGAAGTTGCTGGTGGTCATAAAGAAGATTTATCTGAAGGAAAACAGAGTGTAGATAAAGAAGATAATACTATTCAGTTTGCTGTAACTACAACTACAATGAAAGAAGGTACTGAAGAAACATGCACTAGGAATAAAGAGGATAAAAATTGCAAACAACTGCATGAAGAAATTCACAGTATTGTGCCAGATATTGAGGAGGTTGGTTGTCTTGAATCACAGAAGACTGAATTCATTGAACAAAATGAGCCTGAGAATGAAGAAATAATTGTAGAAGAATATCATGAAGCCTTAGATGTTGATGCAGCTTCTTTTGGAGAATTTAAAACTTCTGAGAAGAGAGATGATCTGAATAATAAAGATAATGAAAAGGTCAAAGCCAGTTTATTAAATGAAATTGGATCTGAGGCTTTTGTGGAAGAAAGTGACAGTATTCAGCAGCTGAAAGGACATAAATCTGAAGAAGTCAAATCTGTGCAGATGGATTTCTCTGTTTCTGAAACAACAAAGTCACAATGTGGACAGCTGGAAGAGGAAAGTAAATTATTGGATGAAATCAGTTCAGTACAAATAGCTGATCATACACCCGAACAGTTGGAAAACCTGGAGAGTGCTATGAATGAAAATCAAGAGGAAACAGAAAGGTATAATAAGAAGGGAAAAGGTAAATCTCGGGAAGACTGCATTATATCATAAACTCAGGAACTGGATCATTGTTCCACACCATTAACCTTGTATCTGTTAAAGAACAAAAATACATCTTTAATTTTTAAAAAGTCAAAATTTGAAAGAAGCTCTACTATTGAATTAATGTCATTCTAAATAATGCAAAGTAGTCAATAATGTATGCATATGGAGGCTACCTTTTTTGTCAAGTTTCTTGACAAGCTTAATTATAGTCTAACCAAAGCTATTATCCTAATTCCCAATGAGCTGCTTTTTAATACTCCATCAAATACAGTATTCGTTCTCTAAGAATTTTAATGAATGCTAGGATTGGAAAATTCTTGGCAATGGTTAGGATGCTTGCTAGCTTTTTGATAAAATGTCACTAGTCTGATACATTTATATTTGATTTCAAGTTATTATATGGAACTTTAGCTTCAATACTGTTACACTTTCTGAACAAAAAAAGACAAGGTCAAGTTGAATGAATAACAATAATGACATTATGACAATTGTTACAGAAGTAGTAAGTTTTTGCTGTGTATGTTTCACTCACTTCAAATTAATACCATTTCTGTTGCAAAGATATACACATAAAAAGCACTACTACTTACAGTAAGAAATCATTTACTAAGAATCATATAGATTTCAGTAACATCCAATTCAGTCTTTTCTTACAAAATTAAGCTCTTATTGGTTTAAATCAGTGGATTAAACTTAATGTCTCTGCAATTGATACATAAATGACACGCTATTGATGCAATTTAGTATTTATAGTTTTGTCTCTCTTCCTCTGTCTCTTTCACTGTAATCTATGTAGGTTTATGTATGATAAAAACTTTCAGTTTGCTTTATATTTAGCCTTTGTATTAAGTAATATTAACTGCAAATTGTAATCTATTTACTTTTAAAAAACCTATCATTTGTTCTCTGCATTGTCTTACAAAGAAATAAATATTGAATGTTGAATGCAAACCAATATTTTCTTATATTGGGAAATCTACCCCTTTAATTTTTGCTGGAATAAGAGCAGTCTTGATTGTCTCTGTAATAATTATCTCTATTTAAATCACAAAATGAAAGAAAATAGCTACTGCAGTTTTATGATAAAACTATTTAACACACTGTCTTCTTTTCCTAAAAGAGAGTTAATAATGGCTAAAATAAATCTGAAAGTTTTTCATTTATGAGCATATAAAACTTTTTAAAACATAAAACACTTATGAACGTATAAACCTGGAACACTTTTATAAACATAAATTGATTTTAACTTCTGCTTTACCATATGAAAATTAAGACAATGCAACTTCTAAAATTTGTATAGCTATAATTTGTATTGTATAGTGTAACAATGTATTACATAAAAATAGGAAAACATTAAAGATGTAACACAGTATCTAATGTATATAATGGAAATAAAGTTTTATATTTTAAAATGTCTCTTCTCATTTGTTTGTAAACTTGATTAAACCGGTAGTTCTAATATTTTGTGCAACTTCATATACATATTTTAAAAGACATATTAATAGTTTTAAAGAAATTGTTCGATAATTATTGCTCATCCCCTATGCTCAGAAATGTATCAGTAAAATAAGCATTCTACCTTTTGGTAGCGAAACGAGATGAGGGTTGATGAGACAAGACAGCAGAGAAGAAACTGTCATTGAAGAGGATTATTATTTTATCTGATATGGTTATACTGTTCAGTTGTTTCACTGAATATGTGTATACTGCACAAAGTTGTATTAATATGTGTTAGGCAGCAATTCTTGTAATTATATTGAAATTGGAGGAAGGACTGTTAGGTATATGCACTGCCTTGAATTCTTTATAAAAATAATAAAGATGAGATTGAATAATTCTAATTTCATCTAAATGTTTTATACCCGCAACATCGTTTATAAGGAATTCTTATTTATTCCTTAGTTTCATGATGTATAATTTTCTTTTGTATCTTAATCTTAAAATTTTATTTTCAGCTTACTCTTAATGTAGTAGCTATTCATTAGAAAATAATTTTCTTTACATTAAAGAATTCTCACACAGTGCCCAATGTATCATTACAGTGCCCAATCATGTATTCTCATATGATTTCCATCAAATTCAAATATTCTCGCTTTCAGTAAATATATAAATTATTTACTAATTTTAAGTTATTAACTTAATAATGTGGAATTATTACAGAAGTGTCCGTTTTTGGAAGCAACTTATATTTTTTAAAATAATTTTATTGTGTTACTAGTTAGAGCCCTCTAAAATATTGAACAGTTTACTATTTGCAGCAAAAAGAATAAATTAGGGGAAAGCTGGTTAATGATCTCAAAATAAATTGAAAAGCACTTGGTCTTTCAAGCTTATAATATAAGCAGGTTGGATGTTCTGTATTCAACTCCATGAAGTGCATCATTTGGTTGCATAATCACTTTGTCAGAATAGAATTGTTCACTTATATCCCATTGTGTTTATCTGACAGTGAAACGAATTGCTCCAAACTGTTAGGGAGCCACCCAGTACAAATTATTTGAAAGGGAGAAAAGGTTAGGTGAAGAGAAGAAGATATTTCCAACTGGTACCAATTAAAAAAAGGATATAATTCCAAATCTGACCTTTAGCCATCTATCATTCTTATCTCTTCATGTTTGGCATATGTGGATCTAAAGGCATTGTTGTGCTGTGAATGTAAATAATAGTAGATACTGCTACTTTATGGCTGCTAATTTCCCATTTATAAAAATAATCTAAAAGGAAAATTAAAAGTTAGGTAGCAGAGAGAGGCATGAATGCCGTATTGCCCCCTACCTTAAAAAAGATTTTAAAGAAGCGATTTCTATATGTGTTTGTAAAGTGGCTTGTGAAAGACCGTTAATTCTTTTTAATTTACGTGTTTGGAATACTTTGTAATTATTTTATATAAAATGGGTAACATTTCACATTTTGAAATAAAGTGGATGTTTTGAAATCTAGACTTATTTATGTGCAATTGAAAACAGTAGCAATTTTTTGGGACGCTATATTTGACAAATCTTTTAACGTGAAAAAACCATCATATGCAAGTGTTAGATTCCAGTTTATGAAAAACATTAAGTTTTATATTGTTAAAATCTAAATCTAAAACCATCTAAAAATTTAAAACCATCATATGCAAGTGTTAGATTCCAGTTTATGAAAAACATTGAGTTTTATATTGTTAAAATCTAAATCTAAAACCATCTAAAAATTTAAAACCATCATATGCAAGTGTTAGATTCCAGTTTATGAAAAAACATTCCGTTTTATATTGTGTCTGAATGTATCAGTATGTAGGGCTGAGCAATGCTTTGAATTCTAGTGCCGGAAAGCACCTCTAAGCATGCAAGAGAATGAATGAATACAGTTGTCTGCGGCATTTTAAGCAGATGCCTCTTCAATACTGAACAATTCCTCCCAAAAGCTATTGTAGATAGGTGCTAGATTCATATTCCCACACAATCTGAGGTCCCTTTCATAACATTTGAACTATGCACAGTTTGATTATTATGTTTTAACGTTTATGTTGTAAAATTACATATATTTGAACAATAAAAGATTTGTGAGATTTTTGTATTCCAGTGTTTGACCATAGAATACCTGCATGCTAACAGTAGAAGATAGCGCTTTGCATGCTGCTGGGTGCTTCTACTGAAGTGACAAGCATGCTTTGTGAGATTGGCATAACCTCCCTTGGTTGAAAATCCCTTCCCAGCCCTGTCTGTGACATCATTTACCATGGTACGTGCATAATTTCATTTATCGTTTGCCCCACTAACCTTCATCATTACCTTTCTTTAAAAATGTGTAAAATATCAAGTGTTTTGTATCTTTTTCTCTCTCTCTCTTATAGACATTAGATTAAAAAGACTTCTGGATGAGCGAGAACTTTTACTTCAACAGGTAAATAAAAGCTGAATACTTTGTATTTAGTTTGAGTATATTGTTGGCTCAAAAACTGCTTTAGATGCTATATTTTTCATGGAGTGAAAAGAGTTGCATGAAATGGCTCCACTTATTTTTTTAAGCTATGAGAGTATATTTCTGTATCCTGCTGAGCTGTAGTACAGATAGTCCTCAACTTACAACAGTTCATTTAGTGACGGTTCAAAATTACAATGATGCTGAAAAAAGTGATTTATGACCGTTTTTTACGGTTATGACTTTTCCAGAATCCTCAAATTCAGATTCTTGGCAACTGATTTATATTTATGAACGTTGCTGTGTCCCAAGGTCATATGGTCACCTTTTGCAACCTTCTGACCAGCAAAGTCAATGGGGAAGCCAAATTCACTTAACAACCAGGTTACTTACATATCAACTGCAGTGATTTACTTAACTGTGACAAGAAAAGTCATAAAATGGGGCAAAACTCGCATAACAAATGTCTCACTTAACAACAGAAATTGTGGGCTCAATTGTGGTTGTAAGTCAAGGACTACCTGTATGTTAGCATGCATCAAGTTTATTTTATTTATTTATTTTCTAAATTAAATATAATTAATTAATTATAAATTAAATATATCAATTAAAATAAATTTATAAATTAAATATATTTTTTATTTATATCTATTTATTATTAAATTTATATGCCACCCATCCCATTGATATAGCAACTCTGGGCGGCTTATAATATAATGAAAAGTGAAAAAGGTAATACAAGGCCATTAAAATGCTCTAATTTGGACTGAATATAATATGTAGGTTTAGCAAGTGGAATTTGAATGCTAAAAAAGGGTTCTTTAAAAAAAATCAGATGCTTTTGTGTCTTTGTTCTAGCTTCCCCCATCTGCTTTTATCATTACTTTGTGCCACTCTCCACCAAATAACATTCAAATTGTCTTACTGGAAGCTCTCTGTCTATCCATTTAAGAATTAAACAGATATAGAAATGGCTCGTAGCATCAGCCATGATTCTTATCTTTTCCATCATTTGCTTCATGGCTTTTAGATATTCTTCCCAAGGAACACTTTTAAGAAGTTAGGAGATTTTGGAATTACTGCAAACGTTGGTTGACATAATATAGATATTAGTTCTACATTTAAAAAAATTAATTTCCAGATATTGTTTTTTATAGTACAACATACAATTGATTCATCCGCAGGGAACAAATGGCAGAATATGAAACTATATTGGATCAAAACTCAACTTGTAGAGTTTTTGTAATCCAATCTTTATTTTTATAAGTAACTCAGGACAGCAAACATATCCAATAGCTCCCTCCTTTTTTTCTTCCACCACAACAATCCTACCAGTAGGGTTGGGCTGAGAGTGCATGACTTGCCCAAAGACACCCAGTTGGCATTCATGCTTAAAGTAGAAGAACTCACAACCTCCCAGTTTCTTGCCTGGTGCCTTAACCACTAGACTAAACTGGCTGTCACAGTTTTTCATTTAAAAAGATATGCAATATAGTACTGCTATCTTGATAACTGCATTTGGCATCTCCAGAATCTTTTCTGTGTTTTTTGAAGGGGCAGGATTGGTAGCCATCATTCTTCAGTGTTATGTTACAAATGTCTGCTGCATAAGCTTAAAAATTCTCTTGCCATTTTCCAAGTTTTCCTCCTTTATAACTACTCCTTCATAAATCAAAACAGAAGCACTAAGTGATCTTCTGAAAGTTCTAATGATTCTATTCTTGTGTAACCTGGATCATTTTTCCTTGGATTGATTTTTTTTTATGGCTTTCAGATTAAAAAATTAAACGGACAACTGGAAGAAAAACAAAATAGTAAAATTGAGAAGTTACATTTGGAAGATGGAGTCCTAGAAAATGGCCCAGACATGCATGTGATTGATCTTCAAAGTAAGGTTAATCCCCAATTTAAAGTTTTTAAATTTAGTACTTATTTTTTTTCTACTTATAGAATGAATATATCAGATGAAATAGGCCTCAGTTATTCATGCAGAGATACAATAGCTTTTTTTCTGAGCTGTCATTCTAAACTGCTGGAGTTAGCTGTATACTAAGTCAAACTTAGTGGGAACATATATTGTAACATGGTGAAATGAGTGGCATTTCTCTCTTACATTGGTTAAAAAAAAGAAGAAAAAAAGCTTTTTCAGAAGGTTAATCAGCTGTATAACCAAAATTGTCCTTTGTAATAGGGAAGAGCAATTGTGTCATGCCCATTTGGGTGGGAAGAGTGGCATAAGGGTTTAGAAAAGTTGCAATGATGCCCAGTACCAAGTTCATCATATTTCAGAAAATAAATATGATGTATGGCTGCATCCTAACAATTCAGAAGCTGTAGGAGCAAGCTTTGGCAGCAACATAAGGATTAAGGCTGATGAGTTGGGCAGCTATAGTGAACGGTGGCAATCATTCTTATTACTTTTACTTGGGATAATTTAGTTCTTTCTGACTGTCCACACTGATAGTCGCAGTTATTCGATCAAGAATCAACTTAATACACAATCTCAGAATTCCAGCTATGTCCACCAGTGAGCCCCAAATATCAAGAAGTGTTCTTTCTATCCCAAAACAGCTTCTATCCAGCTGATTTTTTTTTTCTGGGAGACTGGAGAAAGAGATGATCTTGGTTCATTTCACTTCAGTTCCTCATTTTCTCCCTCACATGAAAATCTGCTTGAAAGCATTGGAGAATCCTCTCAAAATATGGAGAAGTATTACTGAAATTTGAAGAGGGAGGGAGAACCATCTGTGGTGGGTAACACACTTAGCTGTGTGATTAATGCTAATGGATGCTAAAGGAGTTATAGTATTTGAGAATTATTTTGATGTCAGACATGACTTTATATTGTTATTTATTCAGGAGATGCAAACAGACAAATCAGCGACCTGAAATTTAAACTTGCAAAATCTGAGCAAGAAATTATAGCACTGGAACAGAATGTAAGTTTACAATAGTCTTGATAGTATTCTTGAATTACCTGGTTTGGTGCAGTTATGTTTATTTTTTATCTAAAAGTGTTAGAGGAGAAATTAGATTGTCTCAGCTTACTTGTTTCAAAACCATTTTCCATGAAATTAGTCAATATTGTTTAATTTTAATTGTTTAATTTTTAATTCTGAATATATTAACTAAATGCTAATATATGATAATTTGATTATGTAGTATTTGATTCATATTATGAAGTAATTTATGGTGAGTTGCCATATTCTGGCTTCTGGATCCAAATACTTGCTCATAGAATGAAAGGGTTGAAAGAAACCTATCTAGACCAAGCCCTGGCCCAGTGCAAAAATCTACTATTATCATCCAGTGTTTCTGGTGGGTAACCTTAACAAAATTGACTGAGGACTGGAGTGTTTGGGAAAGGTGAACCCCACTATTACCTGTTTCTTGAAATAGTTTTGGGCAACTGTTGTGGAGTTCTGTAAGCCTTAGGAGATGGGATAAAACTCTAGCATGTTTATTTGATGTTGGTCTTCATTCATATTAGGTTCTTCCAAGAATCTTAACACATTTATGTGCGGATCCAAGCCGTATGGCTTTTTGCAATTAACAGATGGAAATTTTATTTTTTCAGTGCCATTGTAACTTCAAACTCAAAGAACCATTGTAAGCTGTTAGGAACAATCTGGAAATCTTCAAACATACTGGATCATTTTGCTCAATGAATAAATATACAGTATAATTTGGTTGGATCGTAGTCTCTTTTACTGGTTTTAAGAGTTGTATGAAGACAGATCACATTTTAGGTCCAGGTTTGCGTACAAATATTAAAAATTCAAAAGGATTTACTACGTTTCCACCACCACCATGCTTTTCTTCCACCTTTGCTCCTTGCAGGGTGCAGTCTGTGAAATTGCACAACCTTGTGTGAATGTGTGTTGTCTTTTCCTTTTGAACAAAAAAATTCTCCATCAAATCTAGGAGGACGCCAGGTGGATAGAAAGGAAGGGTGGATCCCTGGGTGGATCCTTCAGCCCCCATCAGAGAATGGGGTGGGGGCGGGGGAGGAAGGGCATGGTGGAGGACCCCCTTGGAGGGTGGAGGGTGGAGGTTCCTTGGGAACTTAGCTTCCTTTGCCCAGGATCAGACAGCAGGACCAGGGGTAGAAGTCTCTGGGTAGTTTGTGGAGCAGGGTGCCCAGAGTCCAGATGCTGCCCAGAGTTCAGATCTGCAGACAATAGGCAAGTAGGAAAGGACAAACGGATGGGCCACCCAAGACAGTGGCTGGCTGCTTAACATTCAGGAGCTGTTCTCCACTGACTCCCCCCCGCCCCCACTATTGAGCTGGCCAAAGACTGCCAGAATGAAAGCCCACCTGCTCAAGCCTCGTCCCCCCAGCCCCCATTCACTTGAGAAGCAAAGAGGGCCTGAAAGAGGCTGCTGTCTTCCCGGGTTTCTCTTTGCCTAGGGCAGCAAATGGTGTCCGTGGGGTGAGGGCTCAGTGCGGCTCTCAGCACGTGAATCAATGCAATGCAATGATTTTCTATGCTGTCCAAGATATTTTTAATATGGCACGCAGTGTGCTGATAACCACTGGGACCATTGCAGCTGGTTTATGCCATAATCTTTCAACTTCAGTTTTCAGATTTTGATAGTTTTTTATTTTTTTTCCAATTTGTCTTCTATTCAGCTATCTTCTGGTATTACCATATCAATGATCCACGTTTTCCTCTTTTCAACCAGAATTAAATCTAGCGTGTTATGAGACAAGACTTCATCAGTTTGTATTCAGAAACCACACAGTATTTTAACCGGTCATTTTTTTACTAGTTTTCCAACTGTTCCAACACCAATGCAGTTGGTGTTCCCACCATTTTTTCATTATTGGCATATGATATTTTTTACAAATGAGCCAGTGAATTATTCTGGTAACTGATGTCATTGTTTATAATGAGTATGTATAATCTTCTTGCATGAGCAAAGTATATGATCTACTGTTTCTTCTACTTTTTTGCACAATCTGTGCTTAGAATCATTGGATGATTTTTCAGTTCTGGCTTTGATTGCATTAGTATTGAATAGTTTGCTGTTGAGCAGCCAAAATCAAGCCTTCAGTTTCTTTTTTTAATGTTCTAGTTGTAAACCATCATCAGGGGTTACCTTTCACTTTCCCTCAAACTTTTGTAGAAATTGATAACTTTTAATACTTTTTCCTTGCCAGTATTTGCATTATTTCAGTGTTCCTATTATGTTTCCTGTACATTCAATAAGTTCCAATTTTTAAGTTGCTTCAATGCTTGTATAGTCAACTAATGCAAGCTTTTCATCTTCAACAATTTGTTTTATTTTAAATAAACCTCTATATCATTTCTATGGGGCAGGTATAATTTATCAATATCAATAGTGGGATGAAATACATAGTAAAAATATTCACTTTTTCATTCTCACAAGATCACATTTTTTAATCAATAGGAACCACAGCATTTCTCTCCTGTCAGTCCCACAAATAATTCAGTCATATGCCACGGAAAGGTTTATAAGTGATAACCAGCACCTTGAATTACATTCAGAAGCCTTGTGAGCAATGGTGGAATATGAATGCCGAATGTCACCAATTAGAATGACATGATTCCTTTTGAATTGGCACCCTGGTTACTTAGTGAGTTATGTTAAAGCTTAGATATAGTAAGCGACCAAGAGAATTTTTCTAGATGTATATCTAATGATGCAGGGGGTGGGAGGGAGGAATACCTGATAACCTTCAATTATGCATTCTAAAAGCCAGGATTTGGGCCTTGCTCACAGGCTCACCTAGGCAGATCAGGGTTGTATGGGATGCAACTGCGAGAGAAGGCAGGCAAGCTGTCTGGGCCACATGGGAGGCAGTTAGGCCAGGATTCGGGCCTTGCTCGCAGGCTCACCCAGGCAGATCAGGGCTGCTCAGCTGGGCCGCAGGGAGAGCGCCGCATGGGATGCAGTCGTGGTGGAAGGCAGGCAAACTGTCTGGGCCACATGGGAGGCAGCTAGGCTGGGATTTGGGCCTTGCTTACAGTCTCACCCAGGCAGATCAGGGCCACTCAGCTGGGCCTCAGGGAGAGCGCTGCGAGGCGACTGCGAAGGCAAGCAAGCTGGCTGGCCCGCAGAGACCGTGTGTTCAAGGCAAGCGAGGGAGCCAGACAGAGAGCAGTAGCAGCTATGCCGGGTGAGTGGGCGAGATGAGTGAGTGGGCGGGGGGAGGCAGCCAGTGGTGGGATTTGCGTATTTACCAAAATGCGCAGAATCTTCACAACCGGTTTGCCTGAAGCCCACCTCTGGCATACATTCTGTCTCTTTTATTTCTTTATATCTCTTTGTATCCACTTTTCTTTGCCAGTCAAATGTTTCTTCTAATTGTTTTCTGCAATTCATTGTAATTATTCTGCAAAAATATATTCTACATCGGGGTGTCAAACTCAATTTCACTGAGGGCCGCATCAGGGTTGTGGCTGACCTTGGGGTGTGGGTGGGTGGGTGGGCGTGGCCAGGGTGAGCATGGCCAGCTTCCCTGCCTCTCTCTTTCTCGTTTCCATCTCCTTCCTTCCCTCCTTTCCTCTCTCCCTCCCCTTCCTCATCTCCTTCTTATTCCTATCTCCTTCCTTCCTCCTCCCCTCCCCTTTCTCATTCCATCTCCCCCCTCCTTTCCCTTTCCTGGGGAAGGCGACTCCCTCCCCCCCAGCTTTTAAATGTGACCTTTATTAAGAGCCGAGGATGCCCACTCGGATACCTGCTGCTTGTTTTTTCCCAAAAGAAAAAGAGAAATCCCTAGCCGAGGGTCAGCAGCCTAACTTTTTAAGGATTTGAAAAGCTTTTCTTTTAATTTTGGGGTCTTGCTTTTGGGGACAACCCCACCCCTCCTCCCCATACCTCCTTTGTTTCTAAGAAAAAAAAATCAGGGAAGGGAGAAGAAGGGTAAAAAAGACACACACTCAACCATACAGAGGAGACGAATCCAGCGTCGGAGAAGGGACCCTTACAAGCCCAAGTCACTGCTGCCTCCACTCCCATTGCCTTTTCTTCCAAAGGAAAAAGCCCCCAGCCCAGAAATGATGCTCCCAGAGCTGGACAGATATGCTGTGAAGAAAGGAAGAAAAACCTTGTGACTTAAAAAATCCCAGGGAGAAACCCACCCACCCCCAGCCTCCTCCTCCCCCACGTGGCTGCTTCTGAACTGAAGGAGGCAATGTTTGGAATTAAACGAGGTGAGCAATCGAGCAGGGAAGGCAGAGCAGGAGAGATCAGGTATTTAGCTTTCAGCTCCCTTTTTTCTTCCTTTCCTGCAAGTGGCAAGAACCTCAGGTTTGCAGGATCTGAGATTTACTTTCCCTTGCTGCCTTTGCCCACTTCCCAGCCAAGGAATGCTGTTTCTTTTGCTGCCTCCTCACAAAAAATAAAACCTTGCTTGCTTTCTCCTTCCTTCTTTCTCATCTTCCTTCTTTCCCTCCCTCCTTCCCCCCTTCCTTTCCTCCCTTCTTCTCATTCCCATCTCGTTCATTCCTTCATGCTCGGAAGGGGATGAGGGGAGGGGGAGAGATTGGCAGTGCTGCCAGTGGCTGTGCTTACCGTGGCTGTGGCTTTCCCACGTGGGGCAGAGTGGGAGCAGTCCTAGTGAAAGGGAAGCCGCATGGGCTGCAAAGGCCGGGCTGGCGAGCAGGCCATGGAGGCGCTGGTGGTGGGCACAACTGATCTATAACTGAGTGGCGGCCATCCAGCCTGGAACATGCTGAGCCTTAGATCTGGGGGGCAGCCCTGGTGCCAGTAGAGGCTGCCACCCCTCCCCCCCCGACTCAGCCCTGCCCCCTGGTCATGCACACATGAGGCGGCGAGTGCCCAGCGGGTGGGGCTGAGGCAACAGGGCAGTTCCTCACCGGCTCCAGGGCAGCCCTGCAGATCTAAGGCTGATTGCATTCCAGCTGGATGGCGGCCATCAAGTTATAGATTAGCGCCTGGCCGGGGTGGT